TGCACCGGCAACGGAAAGTTGCCCCTAGTCTGAATAGCACTGCACCGGAGATTACAATCGAAGCCCTTAAATGCTGATAGACAAAGATGACTAAGATGATCAAATGGACAGAGTTGATCGGGAAGAGTTTATGGCTGAACTTCAGGATGAAGTTGCCTACGTATCCCGATGATGGGAATCAAGCCTTACGTAGTTCAGGCTTAGGTTCACTCGAGTATTTTCACTCTCCTTTTACACTCTAACTTTTGCCAAGGCCGCCCTTTGCGGGTTTTCAACCTTGCGAGCTCAGTTTTTATATTTTTCCAATTTTTTATGCTCTAACTTTTGTCTAGGTCGCCCTTTCGGGTTTTCGACCTAGCGAACCTCTCAGGGGTAATATTTCTTCAACTTGTCCATGTTGATCGGTGTGGAAAATTCTAGGCCATCTAGGTCCATCAGAACCATAGCTCCACCTGACCAGATAGACTTGATGATGTAGGGACCAGTCCAATTGGGTCTGAACTTGCCCCTTGGGTCGTGGATGGGAGCTCGGTTGTCCTTGAGCACCAAATCTCCTTCCTTTTAGATTCCTGGACTTGCTTTCTTGTTGAAAGCCAGGGCAATTCTGCGCTGATAGCCTTGAACATGGTACAGTGCTTTCAGTCTTCTCTCATCAAAGAGCATGAGTTCCTCAAACCTGCTCTGCTGCCAATCTGCTTCGGCTATTGGACACTCAGCCAATACTCGCAATGACGGAACCTCAATCTCGATAGGTAGAACGGCCTCCATCCCATAAACAATGAATACGGAGTCGCTCCGGTAGAAGTTCTAATTGAAGTCCTGTAGCCCCACAGAGCAAACGGCAGCTTATCTGGCCAATCCCGATAGGTTTCCACCATCTTCTGCAGTATGTGTTTGATATTCTTGTTGGCGGCCTCAACCGCTCCGTTGGTTTGCAACCGGTATGTGATGACTTATGAAAGCCACGTTGTATTTTTCCAACAAGTCGATCACTTCCTTCTTAAAGTGGAACCATTATCTGAAATGACCTCGTTTGGGACCCATAGGCCTAGGTGTCATCTGGTTGATTGCTTCCCCAGTCTTCGTCTGTGTGGGCAAGACATAAGTCATCGTCTTCCCACCACATTCCGTTGGCATTCAAAAGGCACCTGTCTGGCTCGGGCATGTTTGTACTCACAGCACTTTCAGCCTGCATGCTCACAGCATCCTCTGTTCTTGTGCCCACAGCACTTCCGATCCCCTCATGGAGAGCACCAAATCTCCTTCCTTTAGATTCCTGGACTTAACTTTTTTGTTGAAAGCCCGGGCAATTCTGCGCTGATAACCTTGAACATGGTACAGTGCTTTCAGTCTTCTCTCATCAAAGAGCATGAGTTCCTCAAACCTGCTCTGCTGCCAATCTGCTTCGGCTATTTGACACTCAGCCAATACTCGTAATGACGGAACTTCAATCTCGATAGGTAGAACAGCCTCTATCCCATAAACCAGTGAATACGGAGTTGCTCCGGTAGAAGTTCTAATTGAAGTCCTGTAGCCCCACAGAGCAAATGACAGCTTATCTGGCCAATCCCGATAGGTTTCCACCATCTTCTGCAGTATGTGTTTGATATTCTTGTTGGCGGCCTCAACCGCTCCGTTGGTTTGCAACCGGTATGTGGATGACTTATGAAAAGCCACGTTGTATTTTTCCAACAAGTCGATCACTTCCTTCTTAAAGTGGGAACCATTATCTGAAATGACCTCGTTTGGGACCCCATAGGGACAAATGATGTTATTTCTAATAAATTTTGCAACGTGCGATGCTTTTAACACGGCATATGATTGGGCCTCGACCCACTTTGTAAAGTAATCTATCGCGACTAGGATGAACTCATGCCCATTCGACTCCTTCGGAGTGACAGCCCCGATCACATCAATTCCCCAAACTGAAAATGGCCATCGTGAAGTCATGTTGTACAGCTTTGACGGCAGAATGTTCATGCGGTTTCCATGGATTTGACACTTGTGGGATCACCGAACAAAACCGGTACAATCCTCCTCCATGGTGGACCAGCAGTAACCCCGTCTGAGGATCTTCTATGCTAGAATTACTCCGTTCATATGCGCACCGCATTCTCCTCCATGGATGGCCTCCATCAGGCGCTTCGATTCCTCGGCTTCAACACACAGCTTATGCATTCCCAAATGACCTCTCTTATACAGCTTACCCCCACAGATGATGAACTA